ACAGCATTCTTGCATGGAGAGCTAAAGGAGACTGTGTTTGTCTCACAACCAGAAGGGTTTATAGAAGAAGAAAAGAAAGATAAAGTATACAAACTTAACAAAGCACTCTATGGGCTTAGACAAGCACCAAGAGCATGGAATAATAAACTAAACCAGATCCTTCAAGGCTTAGGCTTCGTAAAATGCTCTAAAGAACCCTCCTTATACAGGAAAAGGAAGGATGAATGTCTTCTAGTTGTGGCAGTGTATGTTGATGATCTGCTAGTTACAGGCTCTAACTCAGAACAAATTTATGAATTCAAGAAAGGAATGTCTGCAACATTTGAGATGAGTGATTTAGGCCTATTGACCTATTATCTTGGTATAGAGGTAGTTCAGCATGAAAAGGGCATTACTATGAAACAGGGAAGGTATGCAGAGAAAATACTAGAAGAAGTAAAAATGAGTGAATGTAATGCAGTTCACATACCAATGAATGCTGGCTTAAAGTTGTCAAAAGCAGAGGAAGAGAAGAGTGTGGATGAGAAAGAGTTTAGAAGAATCATTGGATGTCTCAGGTATTTACTTCATACAAGACCTGACCTCTCTTTCAGTGTTGGTGTGTTAAGTAGATATCTACAAGATCCAAAAGAATCCCATAAAATTGCCTTGAAACAAGTACTTAGGTACTTAAAGGGCACTCTGAACTATGGTCTCTCATTTACTCGGGGAACTCAACAAGGTCTGGTAGGTTATAGTGACAGTAGTCACAATGTAGATGAGGATGATGGTAAGAGTACAACAGGGCACATATTCTACCTTGGAGATTGCCCAATTACTTGGTGTACTAAGAAACAAGACACAGTGGCATTGTCGTCTTGTGAGGCTGAGTTTATGGCCGCTACTGAGGCTGCCAAACAAGCCATTTGGCTTCAAGATCTCTTGGAAGAAGTAATCGGAGAAAGGTGTGAGAAGGTAATGCTTCGAATTGACAATAAATCCGTAATTGCCTTGGCCAAGAACCCGGTATTCCATGGAAGAAGTAAGCACATACACAAGAGATATCACTTTATACGTGAATGTGTAGAAAATGAGTTAGTCGATGTGGAACATGTGCCGGGAGAAGAACAAAAGGCTGATATCTTAACCAAGGCTCTTGGACGGATCAAATACAAGGAAATGAGAGAGCTTGTAGGGATTCAAGACGTGACAGAAGGTGATTTCAAACTTAAGGGAGTGAATGTTGGTGTAAGTTTGAAAGAAGACTATGAAGATTAAAGGCTTGAGGCCCAAGACATTATGAAACAAGTCGGTTTCATAAGAAGATTCTAGAGATAATTGTAAGACCTAATCCTAATGTGTTTAAAGTCGGTTTAAGGTCTATATATATAGAGGTACCAAGGTGTGGTAACCCTATGAGTTTTAGAGAGTTTAGAGATTGTGTAAGCTTAGGGTTTTTGAGTTAGTTTTCCTTGAGCAATAAAGAAAAGTGTTCTTTAGATTACATAGTCTTGTTCTTACATCATAGTTTTTGATTCAATAGAGGTCGCGGGTCGTGATCTTGATGGTGCTACTTTACTCGGCTCGGTCTGAAAATATTTAGAGAAAGCTTATTGGACAGGTGACACTCAGCTGACTCTACTTTACTCTGCTAGGTATGCAAATATGCTGCTATATCCAAAGAAGAGTGGGAAGAACAAAGTAAGATATGGCCAACTTCTTTTCATCCCCCAACCTAGTAAGCTCCATGTCTTTTGTTAGATTTGGTTTCTTGGATCTTTTTTTGTAACCAAGGAGTCCGTCTACATTATCTTTCTTGTCTTTCTATTATCTAAGCTTTAGTCGTTCTAGAATAATCCTACTTCTTGATGATTTCTTTTAGTGCTCTTATCTGCATTGTGATGGCAATATATGTCTTTATTTATAGTGCAGCAGTCAATGATTTGTTTCTTTTTTGCATTTGGCAATGACAGCAATATAGATGGCATTGGTGGGTTTAGCGAGGAGGACACACAATCGATCTCCAAGTTCATGAGAGTTGTTATTGATATGGCAGTATCTGGTCCTAAACCAGTAAGTCTTTTCCATTGATCTACATAAAGTCGATATGAAGTTTTAGACAACAGACCAGGCTCTCCTAATCATCGGTTTTCATTTTTCACACACCAGTCACTTTTTTTAACGCCTCAATCATCATTTTTCTCTTGGCAGTAAGATTTACCATGATTCCATTACATAGAAAAGAATCTCAATTTACCACATTTCTAATGTACTTTTCAGCTTGTAAATGCTGCAGTGATAGTTGATCCTTCAGTTAGGCGAATAATAGCTACTGAAACTGATCATGCATGTAGACCAAAAGATTTCGACTTCTGTTACTGTGTATCAAGGACTCAGTACTCTCTAGTCAGAAACTTATGTTTTGGTGAAACAACATAATGAAAAGATCATTATAAAGGAAAACACAGAGTGCAATCACTAGGAATGAGCAAGAAACCGTCACTAACAATCCTCAAATGAAATAATCTATCTCTACCAATACAATAAAATCACAATTTTGGTAGGAAAGTTATGGAATTGCTTTTTCCCACCAGAACGGTAAAATCGTACAATTTTTTATTTTTCACCAATACAATAAAATAACGATTTTCAGGGAAAATTTGTGTTTTCCCGCCAAAACCGTAAAATAGGAGAATTGCATTTTTTCGCAAAACCTAAAATTGTGTTTTTCGCCAATCTAATAAAATCATGATTTTGGCGAGAAAACCTCGCCAAAACCAATCGGAGAATTGCGTTTTCCCGTCAAAACCATAAAATTGTGTTCTCGCCAATACAACAAAATCACGAATTTGGTGAAAGAATTGCGGAATTGCGTTTCCCATAAAAACCGTAAAATCGGAGAATTGCATTTTCTCGCCAAAACCGTAAAATCGAAAATTTGCGTATTCCAAAAGGTTATGGAATAGTCTTTCCTTCAAAACCGCAAATAATTTAATGAGAAATAATTAATTAAAATTTAAATATTTCATAAAGATTAAAACTTATAAATATAAAATATAATATTTTGAAAATTATTTAGTTGTAATTGTAATTAAAATCATAAAAATATTATTAAAATGAAGACATGTCAATAGACTCAGTTCTTGTAATTAGGATGCCCATTGTCCATATGGTCAAGCCCATATTGTCCGTAGATAAAACTGGTAATATGCCCAATTTGGCCAGGTCAACGAAAGCGTCGTTTCTGACGTGTTACTCTAATAAGAGCACTCAACCATTGAGTTACGAGAACATTTTAATGTTAAAACAAACAGAACGTGTATATATACTAAAAACTGGCAACATAAATTAGGTAAAAATATTTGCAACTAATTTAAAATAACAAAACTAAAAAAAAATTAATAACCAAACATATACAAATATTTAATATATTTACCTTAAACATATATTTCAAAATTTAAAATATTTAATTATATATATATATATAAAGATTTTAATTTAATTTTGGAAAATTATTCTTTCCTCATTTAAATTATAAATCACCAAAACGGATCCTAATTTAGTTAATTAGGATAAAGAAGTAGATACCAGATTTTTTTAGAATTTGTAGATGAAATTTTAAAATCTATCAATGTTCAAATAAATAGATTAGTTATCAACAATTAATTCTAAATGATTAATTTCTAAAGAAAATTATATGAAAGTATATTTAATCATAAATTATCTCATATTTAATCATTATTTTTAGTAGTAATATATGCATATATTAATCAACATTTATTTTTAGCCTATATATACATTTATTTATTCTTAACACTATTCTAAAATAAAGTTATAGTGTCAGATTTTTTTTCTTGCCACAATTAATATTAAATCTAAAGTTAAAGATCCAAGATGAGATCATTATTTGCTTTATATATAGATATACAAATCTAAACTAAGAATTATCATCGTTGGAAAAGAATGGAGGATGACAAGCATAATAATTCTAAGACAATAATTATATCAGAGGATATGGTTGAAGAGATCTTTCAACATCTTCCAATAAAATCACTCGCTAGATTCAAAGTCTTGTCAAAAAAATGGAGATCGATGATCGAATCAACCTATTTTTCCCACAAACGACTTGTCTGTACAGGATTATCAACCCCTAATATGAAATTTCTTTATGTTAGTCGACATTTTTCAGCAAATTTTGTTGAAGAAGATTCAAACTCAACAACTTTGTTTTTGGAAATTTTTTCTAGAGATGATCACAACAACGAAAAAAACTGTCCTTCCTCTTCTAGTTACTACAGTTTTCCTGATGATCCAGTCGACAAATCTCAAAACAAAACTATTCAAGTATTGGGGTCTTGTGATGGATTGGTCTTGATTCGGATCTACGACGATTTTAGGTACATTTACTTGATCAATCCGACGATTGGAGAACACATGACACTTTATCCCGAATTTACGCAATGGCCATTAACTTTTAGATTCGAATTTACCGCAATGGTCTATAGACCATGGAGACAAGTTGATCAAGGAGTCTTGGATTATCCACCAGATGGTACGTTAGCTTTCTTGTTATATTTTCTTGTTATATAGACTTGGATTTTAACAGTCACATAGTAATAAATATATTATATACTTATTTATCAACTATAATATTATCATTTTTCTCTAATATATATATGAAGGTGAATTAGAGAAGAGAATGCCGTTTCATGCTGGATTTGGCAAAGATATTGTTACAAAATCTTATAAGGTGGTTTTGATATATACAAGATTTGGAAAAGGTGATCGTTGTTTCAAGGCCAAGGTCCTATCCCTTGATAGTGGTGAGCAAAGAAGCGCAGGTTTATACATTTTTAATGACCATGACTTCATCAAAGAGCAAACATCAGTCTACGCAAACGGATCCCTCTTTTGGTTGATATTAAATAAGTATAAGAAAACACTTTCATTGCTACTAGCTATCGATCTTCACATCGAAGAATTTCGATGGATATTATTACCAACATGTTACACCAGATATGATTCTAGTATAGAAATGTGGAATCTGAATGACCGTTTGTGCGTATCGGATGTGCTAGAATGTTCAAATTTGATCGTTTGGAGTTTACAACAAGAATATCCTACCGTAAAATGGGAGAAAATATATGCTATTGATATTGGGTTTATAAGAACCAACCAGTTACATGAAAAGTTTTGGATGCTTGGTCTAGCGGCTGCCTATTTTCCAAGTATTAGGAATCATCGAGATCAAGTTTCTTTTTTCAGACAAAGAACGATTTCATATTCGCCAACAATGATTTCTCCTTCAAGTTTGATGTTTTGATCACTACAAAAAAAAAAAAAAAAATAGATTGTATCACTTCAATAGTATTACATAAACAAGTGATTTGAATTTAAATTGCTTATTAATAAGTGACAATTATAGTTGATTTTATTTTTGAATTATTTGACATCAATTCAATGAAAATGATATTTATATTAGTTTGCATCACTTCAAAAATATTGATACAAAATATGAATTCACATCAGTTATATATAATTGCTGTATATACTAATTTTATTCACATAGCTTACAACATCAATTAAAAGATGATACAAATTTATTCACAGCAGTTATTTAGTTGATGTATATACTAATTTTATACACATCACTTAAAAAGGATACAAAATTAACATTAATTAAATAAAAATATAAAATTGATATATCAGTAATAAAATACTGTAATTAACACAGATTTGTGAATAATAGCACGTAGGCTTTTTAGTTAGTTTCCTTTAAAACTCGTATGGCTCTTTTTGATTATTTTTACGACTTGTATATGTATTACTCTTTTAAATATTAACACTGTTTTTTAATTAATATTCCTAACCTTTTATTTTTTGTCTTCAATTTTGTCTTCAATTTTGTATTATCTATAAAAATAATAAATTAAAGATTCAACCCGTAGTGAAGCAGTGAGTTAATGATATTTTAAATTTTTATTAATGTTGATTCAAACATGTCCCGCCATATACCTCCGTCCTGTAATATATTTCGTTCTGTGTTATATTAATTTTTTTATTTGTTCAAATGTTCATAATATTATAAATTCTTTTATTGATTTTAGCTATATCAATTATAATATTTAAAACGTTTTAAAATTTAATATTTTTGGTAAAATTAAACAATTAAACTAAAGCCCGAATTAAATCGTATACAAAATTTTAAATTTGGATGCTTCTTAAGTAAAGCTTCTTGTTCATTCGGATTTGGATTCATTTTGATCTTATTAATAATATAATTCTGAATCATTGTCTAAACATTTTAGCCGATGTGGGACGTTGAACACATATATTTTTCATCAATTGGGTAATATATGTCTGTTTTAAAATTTTCAAATCACTATATATGCAGAAAAAAAAATTCTAAATTTTTTTCTCAAATCACTATATATGCATAAAATCTCTTATCATCTTTGAGATTTTTTTTAACTTTATATATTATATGATAATTCTAAACAGTTTGAAAAAATTAAACAAAGATGATAAGAGAATCATAATTTTAAATCTTAACCAAATCATCAAAATATATATATTGTTAAATATGGAATATTCTAAGAGTTCAGTTTCTTATAACCCGATCCAAAAAAAATATGGATTATCCGGTGTAAGATTTTGAAGTAAATTTTTATACAGGATCGGGTACCAAAAATCTCGGATAAATTTTTAACCCATCTGGTACAAAATATACTTCGAAAATACTAATATAGATTAAAAATCTTTTTTCTTTTAGTATAAAATCTTGGGTCATTTTGAAAACTACCCTGTTTTTGAGTTATGCTTTGAAAATTACCCTTTTTCTGTTTTTAATGAAAACTACAATCTTTTATATGTAAAATGACAATTTGTATTAATTTAAATTTAAAACTATATTTTAGTAAATCAAAACTAAACTCGAATTTAGAGAAAAAAATTAACTAAATTTGAAATAATATTAATTATATATAAATATATATAAATATAAATATAAATATAAATATAAATATATATATATATATATATGTACACTTTTAACACAAAGCTGCTTTATTAGTTTTATATATAAAAAAATTCAACAAGATAATATCTAAAAATATTATAAAGTCTATCCCTTAATATATATGTTATATTATATAAAATAAAATAATTTTCAACATTCCGAGCACATTTTTTCATCAGCTCAACATATCACCAAACTTTGCTCTTATTCAATAATTCTCTTTGAATTTTTTTGCAAAGTAAACGATATTATGTGTTTTTAATAATAACTAGAATTTAACCCGCGGTATACCGCGGGGCTATATTTTTTTAAAAAATGTAATGTTATTCTTTAAAAGACTAACTGAAGATATATCATATTAATTTGTATTTTAAAATGTAGATATCTATTTATCAATTTTTGAAGTATAAATACGAAAACATACATTTTTTTTTAAGTAACGATGTATGGTGGATTTTAAAATTTTGAATATTTTACTCTGCAGTATACCGTGGGTCGGGTTTTTTATAACTGAAAATTTTAAATTTAAGTTGGATTTGTTTTGTTAATATTGTTTCTTTTGTTTTGTGTTTAAGATTGTATAATTGTATTTTGATTGTTAATTTTAGGATTTCATCCGTGATATACCGTTATTTATTAATATCGATCCAAACCCGTCATCCCATATAAACCCGTCTATATTATCTCGTTAGCTAAATTATTAGTATTATAAAATCCAAGAAAATAAATTATTATTGTTATAAAATCTAATAATTTTAGGATCTCACCCGTGGTATACCGTTATTTGAACGATTTTAAATTTATACTACTAATATATATTTTAAATTTATCATATAAAGTATATGATTTCAAGTTTTTTGTGTTTTTTTTATTTAAATAAAACAACGGCTTAAATGATGATAGATATAGTTCTTTTCCTGTATGTGTATTTGATTTTTCTATGTGAATATTTTGATTATTATAAAATAGTATTTTTATTGCTATGCAAAATGTTAATATAAATATTTGCTATAAATTTTTTTGAAGATATATAGAAAGATTGTGTAAATATTTTTAGAAACAAATTAGGCAAGATATTGTTTGGTTAATATCTTTTATTTAACTATTGTAAAATTAATAATAAATGCCAATAACATTCTTTGTAAATACTGCCCAACCCTAGGATTTATTTGCTAAAAGTCATCCAAAAATGTATATATAGATGAATCATCAAAATCTGCACCATAACAATAACACATGACTTAACAAAAATCATAACTTAACATCGGTAGAATGTTGTTATTCATTATTGTTTTAAAAGAATATTTAAGATACTAATTTTTTGAAATTTTTAGTTATATTAAGACTTTGTAAAAATTAAATATTTAATTATTACAAATAAATTAATTTGATATTTTAAATATAGATATTATTAATCGTTATTAAGTTTGGTTTTAAATATTTAAAAATAAAAATGAAGAAAAAGGTATTTTTCAAAAGTGTAAACAAAAAGAAGGTATTTTTCCAAATTTACTCTAAAATCTTTTGTTAATTTTTTTTTCCAAAATCGGCAGAAAAAAAAGAGAGGGGTAAGCAACTTTTGGTGAATCAGTTATGTTCAACACAGTCATATCAGTCACTTATTTTAAAACCTTCGAAGACAAACCTTATCGTCAGTTATGGAAAATATTTAATATTATTAATCTGTTACTAATTTGGAAATGAATTAAATTTTAAACCTTTTCGTCAGTTATTGGTAAATTATTGAAATATTAAAATATTTTATAAACTGACACAAATATTATCATTACGGGAAAAATATCACTTAAATAAACTGATGTAATAAATTAACATCATTTTTTTAACCGAAACAAATACTAACATCGCTTAAATAAATTGACGTAAAACTTAACATCGTTTTTTGCAATTGATACATAATAACTTCGTTACAATAATCGATGTAAATAGTTTAGATATTAACATTTGTTAATAATAAACCGATGCAAATTATTTGCATCACCATTTCAGAGTCACTTATTTAAATGATTATATCATTTATAGTTAATGCAAATATAGATATGATATAATGGGTTATTTACGGACCAGACCCGTTGACTAGGTTTTTGTCTCACTTTTTGACAAAGTGAAGGAGAACTTTCAATTTTTGATAATTATGTCATACTCGGACAAAATTGCCCTCCCAGTGAAACCAGTGTACAGTTACATAGTGGACGAATTAGTTAGGTGGTTTGGTTACGTACATAGTATCTCGTTGGCTATAATATACACGTTATGTACAGTACACTCTCGTTAGCTACAATGTACAAAATAATATTTAAACATTTAAAAACAGAAGAATATAAATAAGTTAAGATTATTATCATTTTTCACCTTCTTTTGTTTTCCCATTTTTTGTCTCTTTTCAATTTTATAAATATTTATTATTTTGTACTTTTATTTAAAATTTATTTTTTTCTATTTTTAAGACCTATTTTTTAAAAAAAAACTTTGAATAATAATTTATTTCTTAACTTTAAACGTGTTGTTGAAAACAATTTGAGACTAACAATATCATGTAGGGCTGAAATAAATGATCCGGGATCCAAAAAACAGGATATCCGGTTGGACGGATCCGGATAGTCAAATTTCGAATTTGGTGGATCCGGATCCGGAGATTTAAAAAACTTTATACCGGATATCCTGATCCGGCAATAATATATAATAATATTACATAATATACACTAGATTTGGGCTTAAGACTCTCGGGCTGGATTTGAATTTGAATGTTAAATGTCTTATCAGTCCAAGCCCAATAAAAAAGACTTAAGAAAAACAAAATAAAAAAACCATAATCTAATTTTTTCTTATCTCGTGTCTTTTTCTCTTTAACAGATCTCACACTCCTCCTCATAACTTCATGTTTTTCTTCCAAATATATTCCGATCTCACCTTCTTGCCGGATTTTCACCAAGTCTGATTGCTTCTTCTTCTTTTTTGAGTCCGACAAGATCCGTCGAGAAGCCTCACCGGTAGATTCTTTATGGAAAAGACTTTTCCGGCGATTTTTCGACAAGATATGGACAAATCTGTGCAAAATCCGGTGTAATGGAAGATTATAAAAAAAGGAACGGATCCGGATATCCGGTTTTTTGCATGGGTACCAGCATTCTGGATATCCGGTAGCCACGGATCCGGATCCGGATAGTATTTCTATAGATCCGGCGGATCCGGATCCGGATAGTCTCAAAAATACCGGATATGTCATAGGGCTAATATCATGTACTTATGTGTCATACACGGTAGTAATTTGTGTGCATATATGTACATAAACATCTAAATAATTTATTTTATCTCATATAAAACAATTTATTTTAAAAACCACTCACTTGATGATTTCACTCAGACGTTTGTCTTAACTCATATAAAACAATTTATTTTAAAAACCACTCACTTGATGATTTCACTCAGACTCAAGAAGAAAGAAAGTCTAAAAACTTCTCTCTTTCTCTTACACAAACATATATTTTTCTTGTTTACCACTAAACAAATCTTTCATAAAAAAAATGGCCATGACTAAACGTTACGAAAAAAAAAAAACGTTACGGTCACCTCCAAAGTCTATTGTTCGTGTTTTATCTTGTCAACTTCCCCTTCATTGTTGGAAATTTAAGTGTAAATTCAACGAACCATCACAACTTTTATACGAACGGTTATTTTATTAAACGTACGGTTGCAAACGTACGTCACACCTTTTGAACCATATATATAACTTTGTTTCTCTTGTGTCAAAGAGAGGAAGAAAGAGAAGAAAAGAGAGATTCACGAGACTAAAGATTGTCTTAATCTTTAGTGCAAAACACAAAAACAAAACACAAAAGCTCTATTTGTTTCTCTTGTGTCTTAGCATAGAACAAGAAAGAACTTTGATTGTCTTATCCTAGAAGGGATTTCGTGTAACCCAAGGCTTGAGAAGGATCGAAATACTCTTTAAGGAAAGTGCTCACGTGCGCGATTCAATCTCTATCCAAGTTCACGTTTGTTACGTCCCGGAGATACAACGTCGATTCACAACATTCATAACCATATCACAGACGCCATGTCCGTACCCTTGTTACCCTCCACCAATAGCTGGTACTGGCTCCACTCAACCGGCCGGTTATTATCCTGAACCGACCGGTTACTATCTTCCCCCATCGCCGAGTAATGTACCAAATTACCCTTCTCCACCTTATTACGGAAGTAATCCCGGCGGGGGATATAACGGTCCTCCACCGCCGGACCCTATCTTGCCTTATTTCCCGTTCTACTACAGAAAACCTCCTCATCAGACGGATCAGTCATCATCTTCCGTGAAATCAACGGTCAAGATCGTAACGGTGGCAAATTAATCTTTTTGCGGTACTTATGTTTTTTTCTTGGTAACGTTTTGTTTATGGTATAATTTTAACTTTCTATAGTTGAAACTTTGATGTTAATATAACTATAACTTTGGCACGGTGAGGATCCGATCCCAGCATCTCGTCTCATAAGAATGATTGACAAACAAGCACGAACAAGTTTTCCTCAATCAGGGCAAGCGGTGATAGGAGATACGACAAAGGACTTCAACTTTGGTTTGAATCGAGAAGTTAATTTTTAAGTTTATGCATATGTTTTCAGCTTCAAATTTTTAAAAACTGTTGCACTTGTTGTACAAACATTTATTTTTCTTTTGAATATAAGTTAACATTACATTCAAAAAAAAAAATATATATATATATATATATATAACTATAAGAGTATATGCTTCACTTTGTGTAATTTGTGGCTATGCACTTTCCCAAAAAGAGGAATTAATTGAAACATTTGTTCAGTTTTTTTAAAAAATAAAAAATCTCTTCTTATATTTGTTAATCTTTCAATAGGAATTACGATTAGCCACAAAATAGTTGAGTAAATTCTAGTTTAAGTGTATAGACAGTCTTTAGTGCAAGCAAAGTTAGATTAGTTCATCAAATTTACAAGTCTTGGTTGAGTGAATTAACACAAAAGTTGAATAACTCTGCAGTTTCATTAAAAAGCTCTCACAGCTTGAGAAAAAGAGTATAGAAACGTTATAAAAGTTATATTTACGAACAATATTATTTAGCATAAAATAAAGATTAACGACATAGAAATGAAAACTAACAATCCCATAAGACCAATAGTACTATACTTGAGAGACAACATTATTATTTAGCATAAATAAAGATTAACGACAATAGAAATGAAAACTAACAATCCCAATACGACAAGTACTAATTGAGAGACGACATTATTATTTTAGCATAAATAAAGATTAACGACAGTAGAAATGAAGACTAATTAACAATCCCAATAAGACTAGAGAGACTGAACAACCAATGGACCAATTCTTGTTCTTCACATATCACATAAGCCAAGTACTGTCCACATGATCCAAGAAGGTTCGAGCTTCAAGAATATGTTCTCCAGCCACTGCTTCAATCGTAGATCTTCTGAGAAATTTTTTTGTATCGTAATACAAGACTGAGAATGATGCCCCAGGCATAAGGCCGTCCATACCAGAGCATTGTGCGAAAACAAGTTCTCCTGTTCCAATGGTACCTTTGAAATAAAATACATCATCTCCAACTTTTTGTTGCCAACCATGAATCTTGATGATTTTTCTCTCAAAGTCTCCTGAAATTTCATCTATAACCAATATAGGGAAAACGTTAGTCCCATCCCGATCAATCTCAGCAGCAGGGAAAAAAGCAAAGTCATCTACTAGGGCAATGTCTTTCTCGTAAATCACGAATTTCCAACGTGGAAAACTGAAATCAGCATCACGTTGAACCTCTTCAGACGGTTCCCAAACGGTAAACTCTTCAGACGTCACGTTGAACCTCACTACCAAATTGTTGCCAGTACTAGACCAAGCTCCATAGTACAAGAAACCTCCTTTAAATAGTGCTTCAGTAACTGGTGAATGATCATCATTACATATGATCCGTCTCCAATAAGAAGGTTCTGCACCCAATTCCACCGTCAAGACATGACAATCGTTAATTGGTATAGAGGACAGGTTCCTCGTCTTAATACACAACACCTTGAATACATTCGTATCTTCATCGTATCCAAAAAAACATTTTATGGAAGATTCGCGCCACTCTTCATCTTCAAGTGCTGGGATCTCCGGTAAAATACGATAATTTTTGGTACCGGGATTGCAAATCGCAACCTTAGTATCTAAATGAAGACATGTCAAACCTCGTATAGGTTGAGAAATATTAGAACCGACTTTCTCAAAAGGAATACGTAACTGTTGTTGACCAGAGGACAAAGATGGTTTCTTCTCTTGATAAACAGAGTGAAACAACACCTCATATTCGCCTGAGCCAGGGTTACGTCTTTGCTCTTCATAAACATCGTGAAACCACGACATCTTAGGTTCGTGTGGGAGGGATGTCATTCGTTCCACCATTAGCATCACTCGAGGTCTTGTCATTGATCGGAGCAAGTACTCACGTCTGAATTCTTCCCCACGGATAATAGATGCCCATTTCTTTGAGACTTGGATGAGTTTCACCAAGGATTTCAGAGGCAACCGTAAAAGAATCTTCTTTTCTAGATCTTCAGGAGGGGTTTGGGAATTTGAATTCACCATTTTTGTTTTCTTCTCTAATGATATTATTATGTGTTTGAGATATAGGACTAACAAACACACACAAGAGATATTTATAGAGAGATCTGAGAGTTTGTGACTAATGTTGTGAGTGGGTGATTACTTGTTGAGTCGTAAAACGCGTACATCTTTCATGTATATTTCATGCTTTACATCGAAAATCAAAAACAAGAATTGTTACTTCTACACGTTAAAATCTTACTAAAACTATCGACCAATTAACATAGAGATTATTGGATACCATGCATGAAAGCGACAGATTCTCTTTCATCGTACCCGTTTTTATAGTTAAATTCTTCGAATACAATTGAATCACACGTACGTCAATATATAGATTACAAGTTAACCATTTTTTTAAGGATTTCATCAGAGGCAACCGTGACAGAATTTTCAATGTATATCTTCATGAAGTGTTTCGAAACATTTTTTTCGAAATTATATATCTCCATTTTCGTTCTTCTCTAATGTATATT